TATGTATATATAATGTATATTATACACAAACACACAAGATAGCTAAGACAACAGTACTACTAATTTATAATTTATTAAAAGGAACAATTAATGTTTAATCTATCAATCCTGCATTCTTACATCTGGTAACCTGAGCAAACTTTTTGAAAATAATAAAATGTAACATAGCAATCACTGTTATTTTCTTTATCATCTTGTTTTGAAATTCTGTATCTTTTTTGTGTTGCTTAATTTTTTTGTCCTTGTTATTGTTTTTTCTCTTTAAAATAATTTTTCTTAAAAAAAGAAACTCAATTATGTAAATACTTCAATAATAAAGTTGAGAGAGGAAATGTTTGTGGTTAGGCACAAGAGACTGAGATCTGTTTTTTTTGTTGTTGTTTTGTTTTTGTTAACGGTACCGGGGATTGAACTTGGGACCCTGTGCTTGCCAGGCAGGCACTTATTCCACTAAGCCATCTCCCCGGCTCGAGGCTGAGATCTGAAACTATCTAAAATTTTTTAAAAAAGAAACCTAATTGTGTAGATACTGTAATAACGAGAAAGTTGAAAAAGGAAATGTTTGTGGTAAGGCAGAAGAAGCTGAGATCTGAAAATATGAGCACGCAAACATGTTACAGTGCTAGGAAGTTTACAAGTCTGGGCTTGGCTATCCTAGCCAAACCAGTCTTAAAAATTAGGTAAAACACAAAATTTGATCAGACTTGCAGCTATTAAAACAATTACAGATAACATTATCCTTGTGCTGTTTCTCTCAACAAAGGTATCAAAAACGAAAGCAAATTCATGTGGTGTTCTTGCTGGATCATATTAGTAATAGAAGCAATTTACAGTAGATATTACACTTTTAGGTACCTTTTAGTATGGGTACATGAAATCAGGCTCAGAGGTGTTATTAGCAATTCACCTAACATTAAGTTACAGCTAGATGTTAGTAGTTCATCTAATACTATATCTTAATATGAAAATGCTGTTAAGAACAGTTGGATAAATAAATTAAGGGTAAAGCTATTAATACAATCACTATTAAGAAAATTTAATAGTCCAGGTCAAAGCATCTTCAAGCTCTTTTAATTTATAGAAGGTATACTTAATCAGTTAACCAACAAACGAGTGATTAAAGAGATGAACAACAACTCTGGATGCTTCTTTCCTGAATAAGCAAGGTACTATTGTGTCATGTGGTCAATTACAGGAAAAATTCTTTGAAACAAATATACATAGAAATAAAAGAGGGAAAAATCTTACCCTCAGGCAACTTCAAGACAGAAAAATTAGTTTTGAATAACAATATAAAGTGCTGAGTAAACATAAGAATTTTTTTTAAGGCAAGAGCCCAGGCTAATCATGAGGCTCAGTCAGGAAGATTTCAAGTTAAGAGGGCACCCTGGGGAATTTAAAAACATCCTGTCACAAAATTAAAAATGGCCAAGGGATGTAGCTTAATGGGAGAGTTCATGGGACCAGTCCCCAGTAAGGGGGTGGGGAGGCTGTCTTTTAAGTGAGCTACATTTCAGAAAACTCCAGTTCAACTTCAAAATCAAGAAACAAATAATATTAAAGTGCAATACTTACTGTGTTAAAGTGGCACACTAGATCAGTGGGGCCTAATCAAAAGGGAGAGAGAAAGAAGGAAAAAAAGTATATATATAAAAGTTTGGGCCGGGGAGGTATA